TGCTGAACCACAAAAGAAGAGACAAATTTATGGATCTGATTTCACTACTGAGAGATGTGAAGTCACCACAGTGATGATGTTCATTTAAACTACCACCATGGTGAAAGTTTCAGTTTCCATGAGAAGTAAATTCTGGGGATTATGCTAACTATGGGTTGAAATCATTAGCATAACCCAGATGCTCCTTTTTCCCCAGAGTTTTGGATGTCCCTGAACTGGCAACAGAAAAATGAGGTGTCAGCAGCTCTTTTGCTTTTCTGTTTCCTTAGTTGCCTCACTAAAAATCTGGAAGCTTTAAATAAACAAGGAATAGTATCTGCCAACTGTGCAGAGTGGAGAAAATAATGTCTCACTGAAGAAATTCATGTGATTCTTTGAAGACAATTCTTTGTAACTGTTTTCCTTGCTTTGAAGCCGACTATAATTTTCCTTCACCTGTGCCATTTTTGGGTGCATTTGTTTTGAGTTGGCAGAAGCTCACCCTCTTCCACCCGCTCCTCCATGGCGGGCTGGACAGTTGCTTGACATGCAGGATGAAGCCAACAGGAAAGTGCTTCACTGAAACTACTAGTGGTAGCTCCTCCAGTGTTTTGATGACCATCTCCTTGAGGGTCACAAGATCCCCACAGGGTTTTTTGTAGAGCTGGAGAATTTTTTGTTTTTCCCGCCATGTTCTCCCGGATACCTGCACCATAAACCATAGCCTGCTCTCAGATCTGGGCACGTATTTTCCCAGTGAGGTCAATCAAATAGAGTTTAGTTTGGTTTTTAGCAGTAGGAAGGCATCACTGGCCACCGTTAGTGCCAAGCAGCAATTACTTCCTTTCTGAAATCAGGTTTCCTGGAAAAGGGAATAAATTTATAGTTTGCATGTTGCATATCCATGCATGAACGCCCGAGTACAAATCTCATTTTTCATTGAACAGGATTCAGGGTGTAAGTAACCTTGCCATTTGATCTATGTTCAAGGAGCAATGGCTTTAAACTGAGAAAGGGTAGATTTACATTAGATATAAGGAAGAAATTTTTTACCATGAAGGTGGTGAAATGCTGGCGCAGGTTGCCCGGAGAAGTAGTGGAGGCCCCATCCTTTAAAACATTCAAGGCCAGGCTGGACGGAGCTCTGAGCAACTTGGTCTAGTTGAGGATCTCCCAGCTCACTGCAGGGGGTTGGGCTAGATGACTTCTAAAGGTCCCTTCCAACCCAAAGCATTCTGTGATTCTATGATTCTATGTTCTTTTCCCGTCATTTAGGTCTATGAGTAAAAAAACCAATTACTTTCACTCACACATTTTCCTGGTATTTTTTGGTGAAGGGAGGGATGTAAGGTTTGAATCTTATTTTACTTGTGAACGTCCCAAATTTTCAGAGCTTCCTGGGTGTACCTCCCAAATGGTACTCCTCTACCATTTTGGAAGGGTAACCATCTGTCATGGGTATCTATTGTTAAAAAAGGAGCACACCTCAGATATAGACACAAATGTTTTCTTTTAAACCTAACACATTCACAGTAAAACTGGCTTCAGTGCTTGTTTTCTCCACCTCCTTTCAACCTAGTTTCTATAATCTCTTGACTTCTTAAAAAAAAAACCAACAAAACAGAATAGCCTAAAGCTGTGCACACGTGTTTGACATCCCAGCTGACAGTTTTAACTACCTCCCTCAAAAGGTGCAGGAACTGTACAAAACCCAGTCATCTTGTATATACTCAAACATCCTCCTGGCTCCTTCCTTCCCTTTATGGCTTGACGTCCATGCATCCTGGCCCAGGGGGAGGAGATCTGGTATGTTCTTGGGGCTTACTTCTTTGAGATGATTAGTGTTAACCACTAGCTGAAGCAGTGACTGATTACTCCCTGCATTGTAGAAAAAAAGAGGATATATGTTTCAATGAAGCTGTCCAGAGTGAACCTGTTTGTGTAAAGCTAGCACTTTATTTTCCTGGCGCCAGCACCCTTAGTAAATTAGTAACTTAGCAGGCATACTTGGAGAAAAGGTATCCATAAGTAGATGAACAGAGTAATGAGCAACATTTACTGGCTTCAACACAGAAATATGCCTTAACAAGTGCTCGGGTGTAAGCACGTGCTTTATATTGCAGTGTTTTCAGTAAAGTCCTGAATCAGGAGCCTGCTTGAGTGGGGACTGGTTCAGCAACTGCATGTCTAAAATCCTTGACATGCTGATTTTGGTGGGATTTTTGTCAACCATTGCAGTCTTCTACCACATTTTTTCAGAACACGCCCATATAAACCAGGAATAAAATTAGTCACAACCTTTAGTGACTGGGATAAACCTAAATTGAATGTGATCTAGTGACCTGAAGGTGAAATGTCCTCATAGCTAATTACCGATGCTGTGATTCATGCAATTTAAAAAAAAAAAAAAAAAACAACACTTTTGCTGTCATATTCCTCAGCCATAGCTGTGGTACAAAATCAGAGGGTAAAGGTGTGCAGTCAGGCTGACTGAAAGCCAGTGAAATGGAAACATGAGCAATATTCCAATTTAACTCCAGAGAAGCCCACTAGTTAGTAAGTAGTTCAAGTGTTTTAGTGCCTGCTGTGTTGCTGCCTACAGGGAAAATACTCTAAGTGCTTTCCCTTTCTCATAAAGGAAAGAAGTTTCCATCTATGTTTTATGTGGCTGTCTTGTCACATCCATTATACAGCATGACACAACCAGTCAGAGGAGGTACTGTGGTGATTTCCATCATGTGCTTTAGTAAGGTTTTTTGTGAAGGGTAGAATACATACACACACACATATATATATATATAAATATATATGTGTGTATATACACACTTATAAATGTAGGTCAGTTAACTGTGAAGGAGTAGATGCCTTATGCTGGCCTATGGAGTGTCGGATATGACGTGTTAATGCCTGCATCTGTGAAATCCAAACATTCTGTCAGGTGGCCATCTTGACACAAACAGGGCAGATATATCCTTATTCTGAGAATATTAGGCCATTAACTGGAACAGTTTTTAGAACTACTTTTTTCCGGTCCATGGTTGACCAGCTATTTCAGGAAACAGCAAAGAACAATTTCTGTTTTTCAGTCTCCAAAGTACAATGTTCATATCGCAGAATGAAGACAATGCAAGAGAGATCCCTGAACAATGCTGGGTTAAAAAAACCCTTTAAAAAAAAGCCTGAACCATCTAGTATCCTGTTCCATTCAAAAATCCAAGGGAGAGATGGGGATTGGAGGAGTGATAGGATGGATGATTCAGAGATTATCAATTTTATATAAGGAAGGATTTTTAAAGGTGCCTGCATAATTTCTGTGTGCTTGTGTGTGCACAATTCCAAAATATCTTCTGCGTGCACAGGGCAGTGAGATGCCAATTTTTCAGCTGAACACAGGCAAAATTTGTGACATTTTAGTTGTCCAAAAATATGATTTTCCTATTCCAAAACGACTTCAGTAGCATATTTCTGTTCAGCAATAATAATCTTACATACTTCAGACAGTGGGACTCCATGCGTGTGGATGTAGATATACACAAAATCTCAGCATGTAAGTGTGCAGTGTTTTACAGAACTGCTTGACATATGCACCATTTGACTACTTTGCCTCTTCTTGGGCTCACTACTCCAGCCCTCCATCACTGCTCTGCTTTCCTAATCGTCCTTGTAAATGCAGTGCTTTCACTCAAAATGCCCTGGTTCGAGGTCTAATATAAAGAATTAATTTCTGCATAGGCAGCATCTTATCATATGCCCCTTGAGGATGCGGCATGAAGGTTTGAAATCCCTGAAAAGCGGAGAATTCCCAGAGGATTGGTAGGGCACCTAGAAATGAGACAGAAAAATTACTGTGGGGACCAACTCTACAGCTACTGAAATTTATAAATAACAAAAACATGCTTTCACAGGTGAGGAATAAAAGCTGTTGTTCCAATAAATACTGAGGCTGTCACACTTATTTGACTGCCTCCATTTACTACTCAGTACTTCTGTCTTGGCTGCAAAAATCACAAATGAGAAAAGAACTCCAGAACAGGGAACCTTATGCAGGCTGGGGATGGGTGAGGACGCACGCTCCCCACATGGTGCAGAAGACTGACGAAAGGCAAACAGTTGATACTTGTTGATAGAGGAAGGTGTTGCAGGGGAGAAAAGGAGGTCGTTCTCCTCTTGATACACCTGGGAGAGTCTGCTGGTTGTTGCAGGGAGCAGCCCAGACACGGATGAGTGGCTGTTTATGAACGTGACCATGAAAACCCTCAGCTGTGGATATGACCGCGCTGTCCTTGACACCATGCGGTCAGCCCAGCTTCTGGGAGACAGTAAGGGCCAGCTACTAGTGTGTGCCGGTGGCTTGAATTTCAAACAAATCCAGCTGGGGCAGTTATCCATCCCATTTACTTTGCATGTAAGCCCCGTGCAAGCTGGCTGAAACACTTTCTCCGCGATGAGCCCTGGAAAGCCTTACCACCAACCGCACCAGGCAAAAACACGGTCTGCAACCCAGCTCCCTTCCTCCGTGATGCCACCCACCAACGTTGTGTCGCCTTACTGTCACACAATTGCACCATGCAATCCGTGGTTTTGGCCCAGCATCTCCAATGCGAAAGCACATCTTTGTCCCTTTAACTTCTCTCTCAGCTGTTATGCCTGTTTTCTCCCCTCCTCTGGGACTGTGCACTCTGTTGCTGCTCCGGCTGCCTGGAGTGAGCGAGGAGAATTTCTTCTGCTGGCGAGCGACCGGCTAGTCTGGGGCTGGCATCTTCCCAGGACGCTGCTGTTTGCATACCAGCAGGCAGAGCAGCAGGTGAAATGGGACTGGTGACATCTGTACAGATGTGTTTGGCTGCTTACACGCTCTTACGAATCTGCTACCCTTAAAGCCTCCGTTCCTCTGACGAGATATCTCTCTCTCTCTCTCTCTCTCAAATTATTTTTCCAAGGAGAAAAGGAAAAGGCAGACAGAAATAGAAGGCAAGAGACAACAGCTTGAGGACCAGATACTTCAGCTGCAGCATTTCAAGGTAAGGGACTGATGCCAGAAACGATGGATTGACTAAATCTGTTCATTATTAGACATGCAGATCACACGTCTGAAAGCTGGGAAGAGCCCACTCCGACATGAAGCAGCTTTCACTGCCGGAGCCTATCTCTTGCAGTGATCGTGTCCTGCCTGCTTTTCATTCCGTGTGTTTCATGCACAGGACCATGTTGCAGAAACGGCTTGGGAGCATGGAGTCGGGAGGGTGCGAGCGCAGGCAGCACGGCAGTGTTGTTATTATTAACCACTGTTATTTATTATACACAACGATAAGACACCAGTCGCTGTGGATTGGGTGTGCACTGCATGGCTTCAGTGAGCACTTTCTGCCTGCAGAGCTGCATTGGATTTTTCTGGTGCCTGTCATTAGGTTGTGTGTGTGTGTATGTCGCAGAGGGGGTGTTGGTTAGCATGCGTGTGTGTGTGTGTGTAAAGCTTTAATTGTAGGATGAAGTTATTAGGCGTACATGGCATAATAAAACGGGCATGTATGCACATGCAGGGAGGGTGTTGATGCATATGTGCATGTCTACATGGAGAGGCGCCTCGGTATTTATCAGGGTGCCGAGCAGACCTAGTCCCTGTTGGACTCCATGACAGCTGCAGACATCACCATTTGAAAGACATCCTCGTTATTTCTATCATTTATCCATCTTGTCAGTAGCAGACTTTTGTCTTTACATTTGTGCATAGCAAAGAGAAGAACAAAAACATACATGCAGTCTTTTTGTAACCAGCGCATATTTGTGGGTCAAATCTCGTTAGATTAGTTCAGAGGGGAGCCCGAGGAATTTCAGCGATTAAAATATCTGAGAAAGATGATCAGGACTGGAAGTTCATCCTTGCAGCAAGTGAGCTGAGCTGCGTTTTGAAAAATAAGATATTTAGGTTGCTTGTGCAATAGTCTGTGCATGTGTGTTTGAACAGTGCACCTGCATGGGGAGACGGTGCACAGAATATCTTCTCTGTCCACACAAGCACTCAAAGACCAGACTTCACATTATGCTACAGCTACAGGCAGGATCCTTCTCCTGCCTCTCCAAGCCGTTGCCATCATGTTCTGTAAACTATTCCTCATTTTGGTAAACATGGTGCGGTTAAGCCCTAGTAATTGATTGCAGCCTACAGAACTGTTACATCAGGTTCACAATAAATCTGTGGATGTCACACATTGTCTTTTGTCCTGTCAGTCAATGATGTGATTGCATTTCTGTGGGGTAACAGGAGTTGCCATTTTGTTCAGGCTACCACTGACTACAGGCAAGGGAGGATTTCGTCTGACATCTGTAGGCTGATGCAGCAGAGCAGCAAGATGCCTTTCCAGTGCCTCCATAACGCTTGCTTCTTTTCTTTTTGCTGCAAAGCTGAGGACTTCCTTTATCACGTTAACTGTTTCCAGGCTAACTGAATTATGCTTTTTCAGGAAACTCTTTAAGCGGAGCCTTTTGGAAAGCCAGTTCTGGCAATCCTCTACTTCATCTGATCAATTTTGATATAGTTTTTGCTAAACTGGATTTTATCATCATTCATAGCGAAAAGTAAAACCTCTCAAGGTGGTGCAGTGGGGTCAGCCCCTCAGCTGGTGTAAACTGGCACTGACTTCAGCCCTGCTACGCTGATTGCCACTAGCGGAGATTCAGTCTTGCGGTGTGGATTTCTTGAGTGACACACATAAAATTTAACTATTTCCCTTTATTATTTATCTCACAGCCTGGAGCAGGAGCAGTAATCACACAGGAAGCTAAGGGGGGATCAGGGCGCAGAAATTTAAAATGGCAGCTATCTCAGCTAAAAGCACAGCCAGACTTAAGGTCTGTAATGCCAGGTGCGAGCATGAGCATCGAAGTATGATAGGAGATTCTCTGCCTCTCCATTCAGTGGCATCACTTGTCATCAGAGGAGAAGTGTGTTGCTTTTACTGGAGCGATCATACTGACTGCTGCTGCAGGAGCTGCCTGCACCACTTCGCTCTATCGCCAAACAACTGTGTGCTCAGAGACCTGCATGAGATGATGGCAGAGGTCTACCTGGGACTGCAGAGCACACCCTCATTGCTGCTAGGCCCTTCCTAAACAGAAGGAGGGCAGCTATTCCCCGGGCTCAATTAAAAAAAAAAAAAAAAAGATAGTAAAATAGAGGCACTGGCTTAGGGTATTTTCCTTTCTCTGTGGAGACAGACCAAGCAAACCTCATCTTCTTTTCATGCATTGTTCAGTGTTCTTGTTGCTTAGTAGGGTGCTGACCAAAATAGTATTTGGCTTGCCAGGCTTTGTTTGTTTGAAAAGCTATCACCTCCCCAAGGCTCTCCCTCACCTCACCCTGGTTGCTTTGATCCTCTGCAAGCCAGGGGCTCCAAGTCTGCCTTGAATACAGTCCCCCAGTCTCAGATGGCTCCTTAGTCTGGCTCACACAGGCCAAAATAAGTGCATCCATTTTCCTTCAGAAGTGGTAGGTGGAACACGGTTTGTTTCCTGAATTATGTGAATTTCAGCTAATTCTGTGCAAGACATAAATCAGGTCAAAATGACCAGGCTTGCCTAGGAAACCCATGTATTTACTCAAAATGCTGTGTGGTCATTGATGTCAGTGTAGAGTGTAAGGACGTCATATCAGTGTTCATTAAAATCTGCTGTGGAGAAATCTTTGAAAATAATATCTGGGTTAATCCTGTGTCTGCAGTATCTGGGTTGATCCCACAAGCGTAACAGCTTGAGTTCACCCAAAGACATTCATGCCAAGATTCAATGGGTTTGGTTCATTTTTACATAATGCTAGAGTAATTTTCCTTTTAAAATACACTGTGTAAAATAGCATGTTTGGTTACCTAATAAAGGTTCTGAAAGCTACAGGGGTTCCTTTAATTTCAGACAATTTTATTCACGTAGAAAAATATCTAATAGAAATAGTTTGTTGCAAATGTTTGTGCTGGATTACCTACAGTTTTCAAGTTGCTGATGCCAATTAGACTCCTGGCAAAATGACCTAACTCTACTACCAGTTCATTCATTTTTCCCTTGTTAGATACGTGGCTGAAAATAGGGAACTGCTGCCCTGTTGTTTTAGGCAGAACAGCCCAGCAAACGCTAGAGTTAGTAAATGTCAGCACTGAACATGGACAAGGCTTTGGCAACAGGTTTTCCAAAGGCTCCTGAGAATGAGGCCAACGGCTTTATGGCTGAGGACTTCAGGGCAAAAACATGGCTCAGCTATTAATGGTATGTTTGAGCTTCTGAATTAATCAAGTGAAACCCTCCAAGTGTGAAAGTCTGGAGCAGAAGAGAGTTCAGAGTAGTGCAGGCTCTAAAAACTGAATCTCCTTGTTGCTGACGGTAAAAGTCATGTCACCTCTTCCGTGAATCACTGGAAAGTAGGGATGTTGGTGGGCACAGAGCATCCACATGTTACTTCAGGGCTGTCAGGGCACTCTGTTGAAGGCAGAAGGTTTATTTGTCTACGTTACAATCAGATGCTTCATTGGAAAGGCCCGTGGTATTGCAAAAGCTATAAAGCTTCTTTGAAGCCCGATTTTTTGACACTGAACTTGCTGGTTTCCTCTAATAACAGGCAATGTACAGCAGTTCTCCTTACCTCCCACCTACTTTAATTTTTACTCCCAAAATAATCCTTCTTCTTTTATATAACACAAGATTTTTTTTGTTTTTGAACAGTAGGTAGATGCTTCATGCTTTGGCAGTTCATTGGCCATACTCTTACAAACAGGGCTTGCCACGCCCATGGGAACTAGAGGTGTTACCAGCTTCTGTAGTTTGAAATCAGAAAAGTGGGCAAAATTCACCTTGTGCAAACACACACTCTGCGATATCTATCAACATGATTTGGTTTCTTGAGGAAGACAATAATTGATTTTTGTGCTTAGTTGCACTGCAGAGATAACCTACAAGCAACAGCTGTTTTTAAGAACTTGTTCAGCTAGGCAGCAGTCGGGCAGGCCCTTTTTAATGGAGATATTTACTATCTAAAGACTAGTCTAAAGACTAAGGTCTGGATTAGGAGTGTTTCTTCCAAGATCTGGCTGCCTCTGTAGTCAGCTGAACATAATTTCTGTAATTGTTTACTGTAGCTCTGTTTGGTGGCAGCTAGTAATCAAATAAACAGCACAAAACCTCCAAATTGGACGAAAAATTACTTCTCTGCTGTTACGTTAACCATTACAAACAATCCATTTACCACAGTAATTTTATTTCTGGAGTGGTATAACTATGAGGGACCTGTTTTTGCTAACATCTTCTGCTTAAAGACTGCAGATCATGAACACTTAATCTGTAAAATAATTGTATCTTTATGCTGAAGGAAAGGAAAGGAAAGCCTTTTTACGCTATAGAGATTTTGTTATGGTATGGTTTTAGCTGAAGCTATCTTACCTATAAATGTTTTAATTTTATTATTCCACAGTTATATTGCTATCCTCATTTTATTCTAGTCTTAAAATAACCACTGTCGGAGAATACAGACCTATCTATCTTTCTATCTATCCATATATATATAAATGTTCTCAACAGTGTGGAAAAACAGATACCTTTTGTGTGTGGAGAAGTATTGTTATTCCTTTATGTTGAATCCCTGTATGATTTTTAAGTAATTTAACCCTTAAACTGAATGGCAACTCAGTCAAGCACACAAAAAATATTTGGTGATGTCATGGAAGTCTCCATTCTCTGCAGGGTCTGTGCAACAGCCCCCAAAACCTATTCTTATTGATAGTCGAGCATTCTTTCTGGTATGTGACGTCTGCTATGACAGTCCCAGGCTGACCCTCTGTTTTTAATGTACTGGAGTCCACCACTCCACTGCAAGACTGGGAGGTCCTGCTATTTCTGTTTCCCAAATGCAGTTCTGGGGCATGGGGAGGCTAAGAGCTAATCGGGAATGAAATTTCTGTTTCCAGAGCATAGGGAACTCCTGTTTGTCCCTTTCTGTGCAAGGCCATGTTTGGGCTGGCACTCACCTTATCCCAAGAAGCTC